TCATGTTGCTGCAGTCTGCAGTCTGACCGCTAGATGTCGCTAAAAGTTACACACTGTAGCTTTAAATACATTGAATTAAAACAATAGTTTTCCCTAACCAAGAGTTCCCATTTTTACCCGGGATATTCAGATGAATCACAGCATCAGGCCACTGTGAGTGGTTCAATGATGTGATGGAAATCCCCCTAAATACGTTGGGGTCCCTTAGCATTTGTACATCTTTCAAACACCACAGCCTACTTGAGTGTTGCTGCTGACCATCTTCACCCATTTATGACCACAGTGTACAGTCTATCTTCTAGCAGAGCACTTCATAGATTTAGCAAAACAGGACCATTAGAGCCGCTGATGATGAATCAACAAATTCACAGCCACAGTGTAACAGCATCTTGCCAATATGGACTATTCTCACACCTTCCTGACTGCCCCAGAGAACTGAGAAGGTTTTAAATGCAAAACAGAGACCTGCTCATAGAAAGGTACAGTAAAGGACAATGTGTTCGGTAAGTGGATATAGAAAAACTTCATTTCTCACCTCCACTTCAAGATTTTTTTCATAGTTTTCTTTTTCTAGCCACTGCAAAGACAGCTTTTTGTGCTGTATAGTTTCCGGCCTGAATGGGGAGAAAGATCACATATGTAAATAAATAAAAAAAAAAAAAAAACTCAGTTATTATTGGTGGTAATACTGACTAAAGAAAGCAACGATTAACATTTTCTTTGCCAGCTCTATCTGTTTGAGTTTTTCCTCGAAAGTATCTGGAGAAAAACTTAACGTCCCCTCCAGGACCTCGGAGCATAGCTTGTGGATCTCTTTGCTGATGGACTGACTGCAGAGACAAAGACAATCACTTAAAGATTAAAGACCAGACTCAAAATAAAATTGCTTGCCCTGAAAATTGCTCCTCACCAATCAGTATTCATCATTTTCAGCCTGTCTTTTTCCTAAACACAGGCATAGAGAGACAACACGTGTTTTAACTCCTTTAGATATATCACTGCTCACATCAATGAAGCATCTGACTGATATTAAAGGAAAAGTCCGTTCAGCAAGGAATAAGCAATGGATCATTATCTATACCTAACACCAGGCTGGGATTTACCATTAGGCAATCCTAGGCAGTTGCTGAGGGCCCCAAGTTTCTGGGGGCCCCATAAAACTCCTTTTGCATGTATGGTTAATACAATTATTCCTTATTTGTGCACAACAATTATTTTTTGATAAAATTTCTTTTGCTAAAATGGCATCAGAACTATTATAATATTAAGTGTGTCACAGAAACCCCCCCGTTCAGTGTCCACCATATTGGATCAGTCCATTTGCTGCACATGTTCAGGAAGGTCCAAACAGACGGCAGCAAACCATTTGAAAACAAACGATGCGAAGAGGAGTGTTGCCAACTTAGCATTTTAGTTGCTATATTTACAGACTTTTCAGATCCTTCTAGTACTTTTAATTGAAAAAAGCGCCTAGCGCAGAATCCAGCAACTTTTTTAAACTGCTGGAGACTTTGGCGACTACATACAAAAGCAGCAAACTCTGTTCTCCAGAGCAAGTAGATTGGTAACCCCATCTCCTGCTCTCATTTATCTTGTCTGCTGTCATGATTCATGCAGCTTTTATTTCATCTAAATGAAAAATGGAGAACAAATAAGCAGATCATGGCTTGTCTACAGTGAAAAGAAGGACTGGGTTATTATTTACTTTTGCCGTCGCCTTTCTGGAAGCACAGGAAGGAGCAATCAGCTAAGTGAGCTTAGTACTTGGAAAAAATCTTTAATTCCTTTTGAGACAGCATGAAAAGTCATCTGAGTTCAAAACATAGAGAAGAAAAACAACATCTATTCTTTTAAAATTTCTTTATC